CTGGAAGCCCGATGAGATCGTCTGCGAGCGAGTGCGCGAGGCGATCGACAGTGAGTGAAGACCTGGCTGGAGCGTGAGCTTTAGCACGGAGCTGGCTTCTTGGTGCGGTTTCCCCGAGCTCCCGCGACTGACTGAAGTAAACGCGGCCCGCACTCCCCTCCTCTGCTCTCTCGCCCGGGGTGAAGGAGGTGGAAGCCGCTGCCAGGGCGACGCCGTGTATGGCCGCGGGCGCTGGCAGAGGAAGGGTGATGACGAGCTGAAAAACAGAGAAAGAAAAAGAGAAAAAAGTCGGAAAAAAGTAATTAGGCAGAACAGCAACAAAGGTCGCTAAGTCAGTACGGGCTAGGGCAGTGTATCTCCGCTCGCTCTTGGAAATAATGTAAAATCTCGTAAAACGAAGAATTCGATGCCTACGAGAGAAACTGGAAATTTTCCCTAACAAGAAACCCGAAACATTAGTTGGTCGCGAGTGCCTTCCCCTGCTGGTGCCCAAGACATCCAGATCAAAACAGTTTTCGGAATGCTCTCTTTACGCCGCGTTTTATTCTCATGCGAAAGGCGCGCGGGATGCGGTAGATAAAATCCTAAGTAATTTCCTCCAGGAGAAGTCTTACACAAGTTACTTTATTTTTGTATTTTCTAGCTTTGCTGGTACTAGAAATTTTATTGCTTAATGATACAAACATGAGTATTGTGTGACCGATGGCGTATGCTATGAACACGATATCAAGAGGAACACATCTGTACTGTACTGATGATTTCATTAATGATGCAGATATTAATGGATTAAGCGTTTTTTGCTATTCTATTGTTAAACACTAATGATCTCCAATACAGATACCATCGATTATGATACAACGTATTGCAATAATAATCCTAACAAGTAAGGAATGGTAATACCTGTTGAGGAATGTGATGATACTGAAACTGAAAATAATAATTATTTTGATAAGGGAGATGAAGAGGTAATGGAGCTAATGATGATGACAATGGTGCTTGTTGTTCACCGTCTAAATAAATATGATTTCTCGTTATGGGATAATTCTTTGAATAGCGACGTTATTGCACAGCCAATGCAAAATCATGTGTGCTATTTATACCGCGAATACCAAATCAAAGAAAATACAGATGCGAAACTTATGGCACAGAACTGAGGTGGGTTGGAATGACATTTAAAGTAGCTTAAGTATTGTTACTATAGTTGAAATGGAGATCGTGATTATAGAACACTTTGATAAAAGTGTTAGAATAGTGTTAATAACGATGATATCCCTTTGAGGGCGACTGGGAATAAGAACAAGAAGAACTCTGCAATAACAGCACCAGTATAACAGCCATAAGGACAATAAAATATAAACTGTAATTGCGCAAACTACCCAGGTAGTACACATTTCTGCTATCGTTGAAAATCCCCTTTGGTAGTATAAATGGAAAGAGAAAGGCGAAGGGAAAGGTCTGTGACAAAAATAAATAAATAAATAAAGTAAAAAGCAAATAGATCAATAAATAAAAAATAATAATTTCCTAGCCAAACCATCTTCAACAAATATTCGAGCTAGTGAAGAACCCTTGAAGTTCCTCCTGAACCTGCGTGCAGCTCTTGATCACCATCTAAATATAGGTCATCGCTCACTGCCCCTTGAGCAACCCAACCACAACATATAAACATATCACAATCACAAACTCCTCGTCAAGGTAATGATTATAACTAGAGAGCCCCCAGAAAGTGTAAATCTCTGCCAAAGCCAAACGTTCCCCATCTCTAAATGAACGTGAGATAGAGATAAGAATAGACCAAATATACATAGTATATTAAGACATTTTTCATCATAAACAGTAACATTTTAGACGAGCCTGGTGATAGTAGTAGTATATGTAATAACAGCAATGGTGACGATGATGGTGATGACAATGACAATGATGATGATAATAATAATATTACTAATGATAATGATGATGATGGTAATGATGATGATGATGATAATTATAATAATGATGACCACGATGATGATGATGATGATGATGACGATGGTGATGATGAGGACGATGACGATGATGATAATAATGTTTATGATAATGATAATCAGCAACATCCTTATTAAAACAATGGTAACAGTAATGATAATAACAATAGTATTGGAAGTGTTGGTAGGTACACTAGTGGCATATAGTGGCAGTAGTAATATTAATAATGATGATAACGATATTGATACTGTTAATAGTAGTAATACTAATAACAAAAGTCAACAGTACACACCGAGAAGACCCGGCGAAGAAGGTGCGTCCTGAAAGACAGAGCTCGGGAGGAGAGGCCAAGGAGGTTGCCATCGTTTTTGTGAGCCGTAACGAGGTTGTGGTACGGACTGCGGTCTGCAGTGGAGCTCTGGTGCATGCATGATGCAGGCAGGCGCTGGGGACACTCCAGGGAAAACGCGTCAAAGCATTGGCTTGCCTTGTCACAGAAACAATTGGAGTTACAGGTGCAAAATGTAGAAAGTCT